AATTCCTGAGGGCTTTCGTTCTATTGAGTACAATGAATACAACCTCCGTGATGATTAGCACATCTCTCCTCCATTTACAACTCCTTGTGCACTGTCGCCTACACACTACATACTACATAGGCTGCTATTACTTGCATCCTTTCTTTACCAACACATACTTTTGCTTTGGATATTAGTATACTCTACAAGTTACAGTCTGGCAATACCGTGTTTCGAAGGTCCTATTAGTGATGCGGCGCCACAGGTTTGATCTTTCAACACGACCAAACAGATTTTTCCGAAAAACGCGTTTCCGCGTTTCTATGCAATCGAGAGTAAATGTGCCATGTATTCCTCTTATTTTCTTTCATTCGAGGGAGTCAAACGCGCCGCCCATCGGGGTAGCTACATGGATGCAGAGATAACGGCGAACTAAGTCCAGTTGACGCGTGACGTCAATGCCAACGCGGTCCAGGTGTCCGATAGTCCCGATCGGGGCCAAAATTTGTAGAACTGATTGACTCGTTGACTCGAGCTTTCCTTCGTACCACCATGTCTGCTAAATCTGGTCGCGTCCTCCTTGCTTACTCCGGTGGCCTTGGTAACTACGCAGCGATACCACGATCGACACAACACTCAAGGATCACCTAGACACCTCATGCATCCTCGCCTGGCTGATTGAGCAGGGTTACGAGGTTTATGCCTTCATGGCCGATGTTGGCCAGGAGGAGGTGCGTCTGGTGTCTCCTCTCATTGATTCACCGTCTGATCTCTCGCAGGACTTCAAGGCTGCCGAGGAAAAGGCGTTGAAGGTTGGCGCAAAGAAGTTCTTCCTTGAGGTTCGTGCATCGAATGCGGGGCAACACACATCATTGACCATGCACCCAGGATATGAGGCGCGAATTTGTCACTGAGCTTATCATGCCCGCCGTCCAGGCAAACTGCATATACGAGGTGCGCGCCTCAATTCTATCATTTTCATCATTTTACGAGAATGCAGAATGTCTACCTCCTGGGCACCTCCCTCGCTCGCCCGGTCATTGCCCGTGGAATGATTTCTGTTGCTGCGCGCGAGGGCTGCGAGTATGTCAGTTTCATCAGAATCCAACTTGGCACTGAAATTCGACAGCTATGTCTCCCATGGCTGCACCGGTAAGGGCAACGACCAAGTTCGCTTTGAGCTGGCCTTCTATGGTCTCAAGCCTGATATCAAGGTCATCACCCCTTGGCGTCTTCCCGAATTCTACACCCGCTTCGCCGGCCGTCAAGCTCTGCTTGACTTCGCCGAGGCCAGCGGCATCCCCGTCACCCAAACTAAGGCCAAGCCATGGTCCACTGACGAGAACCTCTTCCACATCTCATACGAGGCTGGCATTCTTGAGGACCCTGACACCACCCCACCTGCCGACATGTGGAAACTCATCACTGCGCCTGAGGATGCACCGCAGACGCCGGAGAACATTTCGATCGAGTTCAAGGCTGGTCTGCCCATCAAGCTGTCCGTTCCCGACGCCAAGAAGGAGTACACCGACCCCGTCGACATCTTCCTCGCCCTCAACACACTCGGCCGTAAGCACGGAATTGGCCGTATCGACATTGTCGAGAACCGCTTTATCGGTGTCAAGTCCCGCGGCTGCTACGAGTCTCCTGGTGCAACCATCCTGCGCACTGCACACGTTGACCTTGAGGGCCTCACCCTTGATCGTAATGTCCGTGCGCTTCGCGACCAATTCTTGACCATCGAGTTCAGCAAGATCCTCTACAACGGCCACTTCTTTACCCCAGAGCGCGAGTTTATCACCTCTGCAATTCCTGCCTCGCAGCGCACGGTTAACGGTGTCGTTCGTCTGAAATTGTACAAGGGGAACACCGTTGTTATCGGTCGTCACAGCCCCGAGGGCTTGTACGACGAGCAGGAGTCGTCCATGGATGTCCTTGGCGGCTTTGAGCCGACAGATACCTCTGGCTTCATCCAAATCGAGTCCATCCGCATCAAAAAGTGAGTGTATCATCGAGGCTAGCTGCATGATAGCTTGCTGACACCTTTTTCTTCAGGTGGGCGCAGGCCAACATTCGCAAGGGGCAGGCTGGTGTCGATGCGGCCGACGTGTACGGAACGCGCTTGTAGATTCAATCGTCATGTAGTTTGTTGTTTGTTGTATTGATACTGTAATAGGAATGAAAAGGAGATGATGAGCTTCAGAGTCAAGCTAGTCAACCATCGAAACTTCATACTGTGCTGGGGACGATCTTAGGAGGGAAGCAATATCCGCGCACGCTTGAATGTGACTGGGCTGTACTTACGCTGAGGATCCCGAGTTCGCTGCAGGCGCAGTCGGCGCAGCGCCTCGCGATGGGCGTGTGCACCAGCTCCATAATTCATCAATGTTCATGTTCAACGCTCAACGTTGGATCTCCAAGGTCTTGGACTCCAAATTGCGCAGGGTATGTAACTGGGATGTGAGGCCTGGAGTGGCTAGTTCGTTGTCAGCTCCTGGTCAACTCCCCAAACATAGCCCAGCCACCACGGAAGGAGTAGTTCCGTTTACCATGAATTTCAGCCACCGGAATTTGGTTGGTTGCTTTTCTGGGGTGAAGGAGGGTGAAGGAAAGCAGCATGCCAGCCATCTGCCAGGCGATTCCCCAAACGAGGATGGCTAACAGAATACGAGGCACGTATGCCATATGGGAAGTTGGTGACGGCATTTGTCGATCGGAGGATCGAAGCCGGCGCCTGTGTAAGCCCTACCCTTCCTTCCCGACCATCACCTTCTACCCTTATATGAACTTGCTTGCCCTTCCCTCCCAGCGGTTCCTCTTTCACAGATCTTGCATGTCTTTGTAGCACTGGCTGCTTTGCTCCTCTTCATAAACTCCACTACCTTCTACCTGGACTATCATCGACCCACCCAGACCAACAATGGTGACCGTTGTTCCATCGTTCTCTGTCTTTCGCCTCAACGATCCAGCCCCAGGGCTCGCGTCTCCCGAACCCACACCTCTGCGGATCAGGCGGCGCAATCATGCGCGCTCTGCTCAACAACAATGCGCAAGCATGCTCTGCCCGACACTCGTCCTCACTAAATGCGCACATGTGCTCCAACCACACTCGCAAAGGCAGCGCGTTTCCAGCTGCCCGGCACTCGCACGCTGGGTTATAGCCGAGGAGGACTCGGAAAAAACGGATTCGGGGGAGGAGTCGGACCCATGAACACCGCTGGATTCAGCAAGCAAGCACATCGATTCCTTTCACCTATGCACACACACACCCGGCCCTCCACGGTGCATATTCTGTCACACAAAACTCCACAGTCACGACTGTCAGTGACTGCGAGAATAGCACCAGACCTGTCTGCCTCGCTCGCACGCTCCCTACCCACTTCAAATCTTCTCGTTCTGTTTGCCCGTTCACCTAGCATACACCGATACCCATTTTGGCCCATGCAAGCGTCGCACTAGACTTTCCTTCTTCCTCTATCTCACCTTTTCACGATTCGCGCTATCTCGTTATCTTGACTTCTCAAAGTCGCCTACAGCGCGTGTTACGCACGACCGACTGCGTCTACATATTCAAGCAGTGTCACCTTATGCTCCTTCTACTCTACTTTTAGATACCACTCCGGACTAGGCTCTTTCGCTCGTCGCACATAATACACACTTTGGATGGATTTGCTTTTTTCAGTGGTTGTGCGCCCCAGACGGATGAACGGACCACGCACAGGAAAATAATTGGCAGGTACTCTCAGGAGGCGGGGAGGCACGCCCATTGGGGGCTATGTTATGGACAGTTTATGGACGCTCCTGGGCGCTCTGTCAAGATTGTGAACGGGTGCATGTACGGCTGCCTCCTTCTGTCACCGATGCTTCTCGAAGGCAACATTCTGACGCGTGCGGCGCACGCTCGACTCCGCATCCCTATAATGCGGGCTCAGAGCTGTGCACTTCATCGTCTCGACTTTCACTCACTCATCCGAATCACCCATCTATGGCGTTTGGCCATCCAACATTGCACAAACACTAACTAGCGCAGATTAAATTTAACACAAGGGTTGAATGCAGAGGGCACTCCCTGGCATGAGACCAGTTGTTGTAAGTCGCATTTGTGACGGCGAGACTGTCACGTCAAAGTCAGCATATGCATGGGCCCATGGGCGTCCATGAGCAGAAAGGCGCGTGCTGAGTGCTAATCCTAGTCGCGGGCAGCAAGCACGCATCATTAAAGGTGTGTGTTGAAGACCGCTACTGAGTCAAGCATGTAGAAACAGACTCTAAGAGACTCTAGGCTCTGAACGCTAACCATGTTGCATATTTATCGTGCATACTATGCACGGCCAAATAGATATGACATGACTTATAGCACAAGTGCAGACAAGTACTCACGAACGAGGAAATCAGCTGCGCCTGTGGTGGGAGACGCAAGTAGAAACTGGACACGATCACGTGAGTGCGGAAACCTCTGCCTTGGAAGTTGGCCGGAGTTGGCCATTGAGAACTCGATGAAAGATAGGTAGGAGTCATCAAAAAGATAGTTACACGAATCTGAACAGGGTCCACAAATTAAAAGAGCTGTGTCTAACCTCCGAAGTTTGTGTCTTCGAACAGCTTCGAACCATTTGTCTTAATTTAAGAGTACAAATGTTCCTCGGCTTTTTGGTCTCCGTTTCTTTCTGAATGCCCCGGTTTCGCTGATTATCATATCCCTCTTAGCTCAGTGGTAGAGCGCGTCACTAGTAACTGTTGAGTTATGACGAGGTCAGTCGTTCAAGTCGGCTAGAGGGAATGCACCATGACCGAGATAGGTTTTTTTTGACGCTGCGTGCTCTGGGTGACAGTGCACATGAGCATTGGGTCGGTTCGATACGATTCAAGTCTTTCGTGAATCAGGATTTTATTATCCGATTAAGTCTTTGGCGTTGAACAAATTGGTTTTTACCAAGTTTTCCGCGTCTTGATCATGGTAGTGAGTATCTCAGTGCAATTTGGCGGTATCCAAACCTATCCAAACGCTCGTCGCTCAGCACTCAGCACTCAGCGCCCAACGCCCAACGCTCAATGATTATGCTTCATATTTTGTCTATCAAGAAAATGTGGAAATGCTGGAAATGCTGAGAATACTGCGACACCTAAGGCGATGCCCGTACCACAGACAGCGCGGGCCTGGAAGCATGCGAGTTGATTTACAGGCGGGGCACTAGACTTGGAGACTACTTGCGGATACCTCGACCAGATGGATCGGGCTGCAGGATTGGTGCAAGATTCTGAATGTGCAATGCTCTCGACAATCTGTCAACGTTCTCACATGCCTGGTGGCATCGACGAGACCCACTTTTGGATGCAGATTCCTTGAGTCGAATGAAGAAGAATGTACCCGCGACTTTCTTCGCCGAGAGAAACGGTGAAGGGGCCAGATGCTCCGTGGCTACCAGGTGGCTACAATCCACAGATCTCAGACCCTAAAGTGTGGCATGCGTTGGGTATATCGAAGAAGTTTAAGTCAAGGCTTTCGCGAAGGCAAAATCTCCTTGGATCCTTTCAGTAGTATTCTGTGGGCTGGCCAGCATAAGATGACGCCAAAAGGATGAATTGAGAGTGAACACATTCAGACTGCCCAGGTTATGTGTGTATGGAATGCAGCGATGGATATTGGTACAGTGATACAGTCGGGAGAAGAGATGTGAGAAACTACATGCGATTGCGCTTGCGCGATGGCTTTGAGTCTTGGGGTGGCTTCCTGTTCTTGCCCTTCCCTTCCATCGAGGGATCATAGTCAACATCCATCCTATCCTTGTCCATCGAGCGAGTGCTTCGAGTGTTCATGAATGAGCCGCTCATGAGACTATTCCCGCCCTTCCCACTCTTTTCATCCTTCTCCTTCGCAATCTCCGCAAGCGTATCCTGGACGTGTTTGTCCTGGCGGTCCTTTGCGAGTTTGTGATGCTCAGCGCGGCGCGAGACCTGGATAATCTTGTTGTCAAGTGTCTCCAGCACTGAGGACGTTGTCGCCGTCCAGTGACGCAGCGCCGCGAGTGTCGCCTCGAGCTTGCCGGGCTCCAGGTCGCGGCCCATCGTGTACTCCACTTCAAGTTGACTCTCCTTTTGGTCAAGACGCCCGCGCAGCATGTCGAGATAGATGGCGTCGATAATCAGGTCCTCGAGCTCGCGGACGTTCGTCATGTCAAGCGCAACCAGAAGCTCCGAATATGGCAGGATACGCTTCTCGGTCGCAAGAGACACGATGGTGAGATGCTTGAGCTTCGTTATTTGAGCCGCGTTGAGGGTGGGCAGCTGGTCCTTGTGTGCAACATAGTCGCGGTATGTCTTGTATGCGAATAGCTGCAGCAGTGATAGCGCCTTTGCATGGTCCCCAGAGCCGAGCTTTAAGAGATGAGTCAGTATTATGGAGTTCATACTTCACTGCGACACACCTCCTGGATATTAGGCAGATCTAGTAACTCTGAGAACACAAACACGCCTTGCGCCGATGTTGCGTCCTGGGCCAGCTTTGCCGCCGCTGCGCCCTTCACCGACTTGCTCATCAAAATATACGGCTCGAGTTTTGCCGCGAAGTTTGTGCCGACCTCCATTGTAGGCGAAAATATAGAAAGATGGATGCGTGCAGTGCAGACGCAGTGAGACCACGGGACGATTTCAGGTAAGTAATCAGAATCAGAAAGGGAAGCCGGCCTTGAGTTAGTTAATCAAATTTGACTGCCATCATCTTTGCTAGTATATCGGTTAGTACACGCGCCTGTCACTAGATTGCCGCGCGAAAGCTGGGTTCGACTCCCAGGCAGAGAGTTCTTTTTGGTCAACTTCGTTAACGCTTTTTCCGGACTTCAGTCTTGACTCTTCGAATAGTAAATACAGTCTGAAAGATCCCGCTGCTCGGCGCTCAGTCCTCTGCTTTTCGCTCAAGCCTCGTTGCTTGGAGGCTGATGGTTCGGATATCGACCTGCGCAGACAAGCAAACTATAGCTAGGGACCGTCAAGTATCCAACTGTGCATCTGAAATCGAGCTCTACTTAGTACTAAGACTGGAAGTGCTGAAGGCTCATTAATCCTCTCCGAGTCGCAGTGCTTCATCGCCGTAAGAGGGCAGGTACAATTGGCTTTTGTGTTAATTGAATCTAATAGAAGTGTCTACATCTCGAAAACTGCAATATTCTATATAAAATCCGTTGTCTACAAGGCACTGGAAACTGCGAGCTTGTCAAGACTTAGAAGTCCCACAGGGTGCCCTGGGATAGAGCATTAGTAACAGCAAGTACAAAGGGCGTGAGGCTCACGAAGCAAGGTATTCCCGCATCTGTTAAGCCCTCCATTAACTCCTTGTTCCCCTTTGCGTTGCTCGTAATCATCACAACCTCAGCCCCCCAGGCATGGAACACCTCCGTCACAAGCCGTACGCTATCCGGCCGAGTGCCGCGCGCCTTCGAATCCCAAAGCGTCGCGCGGTTCTTCCGTACGAGGTGCTTGTCAATGAGGCCGGCGACAACAGGGCCAAAGGTCTTTTCTTGATCAGAACCCATCCAAATGAGATACCAGCCGTCATTCTGGTCGTCGAGTGAGCTGAGGAATGGAGCGAAGACGACGCTATCAACGTACTTGTATACATGTCGATAATGAAGCGCCTAATCCCGTTCCGGTGCAAACACGAATACCACGTCTATAGAGTCTTGACGTGTAACCAATAGCAGGGAACTGCTCAGGTTGAATAAGTTTGATTACAGACGACTCGGAAGTGGGGAGAATGCTGACCTTGAGTTCGCGCGTCCACACATGCGTCGGCGGGTTATCAACCAGGCCGCGCGTGAACTACGATATGCATAGATGAGCAATAGGACGGGACCCATATAGTGTAACGCACATCTCCTTGGACACCTGCAATGAGGTAGTGCTCGTTTGCATCAGGTCCTTCGCTGATTATGCCGCTAGATGATATGTTATGAACACACTAAAATGCAATCTGGTCTGACAGGACGCACAATGCATGGTATTCCCACAACGGCCCGAGAGATATCCTAGCGAGAAGACCCTGCTGCATTCCGCGCTTGAACTTTATGATGGCCACCTTTGGCGAGGGCTAGGGGCGAGGGTTAAATTCCTAGTTCAACGTCTTGATCAAAGCCGACGTACAATGGTGATTTCGACAGGGACACGACGAACAGTTACCCAAGGCATGATAATGCTGGAGTCTGTCAGTACAATTCGTGTAGTGACTGGGAACAGAGCGTACAAGGCTGTCATGAACAAGCAAAACCAGAAATCTTGCTGATGAATAAGGTGGCTCGGGTAGTAGTTCTGTCGGACGACGTCCCAACTGTCTTCGAGCACGACGAAGACCCATGCTATCTTCGTCAGCCATATCCCACAGAAACGATAGGAGAACGTACTGAAGATTAGGCCAAACCTACGAGGTACTTAGCAACGCGTTCATGATGTCCAGAAAAGTGCTCACCATCCGAATAGTCGATGATTCCGCTCAAAGACACTGCAGGGATGGTCAGTGTTGTGACACGAGTGATAGAAGAGATGTGTTGAGCGGACTTGTGATGATTATTTCGAACCCAGGGAAGAGCAAACACTAGGGCCGCGCCAATGCACACTGTCGTGATAATTCCGAATGCGAGGGTCGCAGCATGTATTCCGTCAGCGTTGAACAGAAGGACTGCTTTGAAGATTAACCAAGCAACGGCTGCCGTAGAACAACCGCTGTGGATTCCGCCCAGGTGCTGTAGGGTCGAGGAGATACCGAGCCGAAACCAGAGTGGTGGCCACTATGGCGAGTCAGCAACGAGACAGCCAAAGGTGGAAGACGCACTTGGGCAAAAAGAACAGCTAAACTAGTGTACAGGGCCCGCGTGAATAACTCTGTCCGAACAAGGACGGCAACAAGTAGGTTCCCAAGGATGAACGCTCCAGTGTATTGCCGTGGATATGTCCATGTATCTGTGGCAGCACAGACTAGCACGACCAAGTTCAGGAGTATACAGACCGTCCATAAACGTCTGGGGAATACACCTCAGTATGCGAGTCAGTCTCCGAGTGAATAGCAAAACGCACTTGTACGCATTGAACCATAGGCGAAACTTAACCAACGACGATATGCGCTTGCTGGGTGAATATCGAATGAGCGCGAGCTCCGCGGGGCTCAGGCTTAGGTTGCTGCCTGGTTCGTCTGCGACCAATCGTTTTTCCAAAGCAGGGTCGCTGTATCCAGCGACGGGAACGTTGTACGCTGCCAAGGGCTGTTGGTTGTGCAACATCGAGTCGGACTTCCTCTGTGCATTCGACTGAGAGACGAGGCTAGTTATAGCCATACGAGAGATCAATCAATGAAAGCTGTCATCGTGAAAGTCGGAGAATATTTTGAAATCGGCGACGGCAAAGGAGAACGTGCAAGACGTCGCCAATATTATCTTATATATAATTGAGGCTACTTACGAGATGGTAGACACTACATCCAGTGGGCCGGGATCGCCGAGATGTCTGCGACCACCAGACCGACGCGTCAGTGTATCCCTACTTCGATGGTACGTTTTCTGAAATAGAACCGTGAAATCTGCGCAAGAGAGCACGTCAGTACACTGCATCGGGTCCTCAGGTGAGCTAGGTGTCTTAGTATTTAACACGCTGACTTGGGCCATATAGATGTCGTAGCTAAGTCAGCACAAAGCCATGGCACACCGCCTTCGACCCAATAATTCACAGAAAGCATTGCCCAAAGTGTACCGAGACGACGGTCGAGATGATGGGAAGGAAGCGAGATGGCCACGTGCC